AAAAAAAAAAAAAATAAATAAAAGTTTTGTACTAGGCATTCTGGTGCTGAAACAGCTGCTAAGACCAGTAATCACCCTGATCTTTGTTCAGTTCCTCATGTTACTCATGTAATTACTGTGTGATCGTGTGGTGCTCTGCTGCTTGTTGGTTAGATCCTGAGTAACTATAGCCCTAAGGCTGGATAATGAATCATTCTGTAAAGCAATGGCCTTTGTATTGCAGTCTAGTTCACATGCGTGCATATATATATGTGTGTGTGCACATGTAACCAAAGAACAGCCTTCACAAAATAATATTTAGCACACTACTTGGAATTTTCTCTGATGTAGCCTCCTCTCTTTTTTTTTTTTTTTTTTTTATCGGCGTCTTGCTCTGTCACCAGGCTGGAGTGCAGTGGCCTGATCTTGGCTCATTGAAACCTCCGCCTCCTGGGTTCAAGTGATTCTCCCCCCCCAGCCTCCTGAGTAGCTGGGACTACAGGCATGCGCCACCATACCCAGCTAATTTTTGTAATTTTAGTGGAGACGAGGTGGCCAGGATGATCTCTTGATCTCATGATCCACCCGCCTTGGCCTCCCAGAGTGCTGGGATTACAGATGTGAGCCACCATACCCAGCCTTCTCTCTTTATAAAAAGGAATATGCTGCTTATCACACCACTTTAGACCTTTTAAAAATAACACTTAAGAAGTTGAAACAGCCATGGATCAGAAACTTAGAAATGGACTTTATTTGTTATTGTAACTATTAGCAAGTCAATATTTTCCTCACTGGGTTCTTTTAGCCATAATAATTGTGTTCTTTTCTTGCTTTGAGCGCCTGTTAACCAGTTGCTGAGGGAAAAAAAATACATATATAAGTATAAATAAACAAATGTCTTTAATCTTTTTGCAGGTTAACATCAGATTTGAAATATTTATAGTGGATACAAAACTATTTCAGCAATGCAGACAATTAAGTGTGTTGTTGTGGGCGATGGTGCTGTTGGTAAAACATGTCTCCTGATATCCTACACAACAAACAAATTTCCATCAGAATATGTACCGACTGTAAGTATAAAGGCTTCCTTCTGTTAGTAAAATGTGTTAAAATTTGTTATCCTTTTGGAAACGCTTTCTCTATGTGTACTGAATTTTTTCTGTTGTCTGCCTTTGTTTCCTGTTTTTAAAGATCTTGACTTCTCATGGGTAAATTATATACACTTTAAAATTAAACAGCTGAAAAATCAGTGGAAAGTCAGAAGGGGTGACACAAGGGTTTGCAAGAAGTGCTGGGAGGCAAAACTCCGGTAGACAAGATTCTAACGAGTGGTGGTCTCAGTTTGGTGAAGTATGCCCCACATCTTGGAATGAGGTGACCTTTTTTTTTTTTTTTTTTTTTTTTTTTTGGCCAATTATTGATTCAATGCTTGGAGGTCTCCTGGGTTACCATTTGGGTCCTGTAACTTCAGAGAAAGTAGTGTGTGTCTCCGCTTTTCTTGCAGAGCTATTGTCTTAGCAGTAATGGGAGTTCCAAACTGGGTCTTAGAGGCAGAGAAGAGAAGACCATTATGTTATGAGAACACCAGCAGAAACCTTTGGGAGTCACCCACCACAGCTGTTTGTTTGTTTGTTTGTTTGTTTTTTGAGATGGAGTCTCTCTCTGTTGCCCAGGCTGGAGTGCATTGGCGCAATCTTGGCTCACTGCAACGTCTGCCTCCCGGGTTCAAGTGATTCTCCTAACTCGGCCTCCTGAATAGCTGGGATTACAGGTGCCGGCCACCACGCCCGACTAATTTTTATATTTTTAGTTGAGACTGGGTTTCACCATGTTGGCCAGGCTGGTCTCCAACTCCTGACCTCAAATGATCCACCTGCCTTGGCCTCTTAAAGTGTTGGGATTACATGGGTGAACCACTGTGCCTGGCCCCATAATTGCTTTTTTAATCAACTTTTTGGAATGGTAGAGGAAAGATGGGAGTAATAAAAATATTGAAGTGAGAGAGAGAGCTAGAGTTTTACTCATTTGTGAAAGGTAGTGAGACCCTGTCTCAAAAATGAGTAAAGTTT